TGGGAAATATCTTGCAATTCAAAATTAGGCTAGTCAAAGTATTAGCTCAATATTCGAAACTTGACTTTAATGCCATAACAAAGATAACACCTTCATTTTGGGGGTGAAAGATAGTGAAGCATATTCTGTACAGTGCCAGAGTTAACTGTTTTAAGCGGGTCAGAATGGACTGTAATATCTAATAACTGAGATTTTTCAAATGTTAGATTTGCTGCTACCTCCTTGTTGTGTGCCACGTTCAAGAACTTGATGAGACAACCATTTTCCAGAAAGGAAGGAAAATAAAATCTAGCTGTAATATAGACAGAGACTTTAAGCTGGCATCACTATTACATAATGTGATTTAGTGTGCCCAGTGAGCCCCCCAGGAGGGGTAGAAAGCTTGGTGGGGAACAAGACTTGTCTACTAGCACTTTGAGCTGTGGGGACCTAATCATTGGTGGTCTTAAATGTTGTGCACTCTAATAGAAAACTCATTAATTATTAGGGCGGTAGCCGTGTTAGTCTGTATCCACAAAAACAGCAAGGAGTCCAGTGGCATCTTAAAGATTAACAGATTTATTTGAGCATAAGCTTTCGTGGGTAAAAACCTCACTTCTTCAGATGCATGGAGTGAAAATTACAGATGCAGACGTAAATATACTGGCACATGAAGAGAAGGGAGTTACCTCACAAGTGGAGAACCAGTGCTGACAGGGCCAATTTGATCAGGGTGGATGTAGTCCACTCCCAATAATAGATGAGGAGGTGTCAATTCCAGGAGAGGCAAAGCTGCTTCTGTATTGAGCCAGCCACTCCCAGTCCCTATTCAAGCCCAAATTAACACCTTTGGAAGTGGACTACATCCACCCTGATTGAATTTAAGTATCTTCCTAAGGTCCAGAAGCAAAGCAAGGTTCAGATAGTGGGTCAACTTTGTTATATGTAACCTATTTAAGAGGCCATGGATTTATATCTCCTAGCCCTGCAGAGCTACAGATAGGAGCTTTGTTTAAATTGTAAAATTTCACTATAGACAAGGCAAAGGGTGGGAGAAAGGAAGTATATTTCGTTTTTCAGATGGGCAGCTGAGTCATATATGTGTTATGACATGCCTGCGGTCATGCATGAATATGAATCAGAACCAAAAGATGAACACAGGTCTCTGGAGTCCCAATCCAGTGCCTTATCCACAGGACCAATCTTCCTGCTAGTTGCAAAATAGCTTCTGTAATGGATGTGGCATGTGCAGAGTACATGATGGTATAGAATATGGGCTTTATTGATGCTCATTTTGCAACAGCTACCAAATTTGTTTGTGGCCTCTGGAATAATGCAACCATGTTAAGCTTGCACCAGAAATGTAGGCATACCCCCTCTACTATGTATTTTCACTATATAGACACGTAAACAAGTCTGCCTCCTGGAACACTTAGTGAAATGCTTGTCACCAGACCACTAGCTAACAGATAACACTAATACCCCTCACACTTTGCTGTAGAAACCCCTCTGGAGAAGTGGGCCCCATACTGGCACACTTCCTGTATAACTGTCACAGGCTTGGAATCAATCCTCCTCACACCAGATCTTACAGGATCTGTCATACAGGTATCTGCAGTCAGATTCCTGATCCTACAGAGAGTTTTCAGTTCAGGCTAAATTATTTACCATAAGATTTATATCCTAAAAGGATGATATTGAAACTTTGATACAACAGTAGAAATAAGCCAATTGGTGCTACAGGAATCTTATCCGGTCTTCATTGGTTTAATAGGGTGTTGGCTCAGTGCACTGAGCTCCCAGGGAAAATGGAATCCAGTGCAGTGGGTAGGTCTTGAAAACAACAATATATTGACCCCTTGCCTTAAGGACCCATTACACTTCCATTACACTGTAAAGTGGTGCAAAGAGGTCTCAGTGTAATTGAAAATCAAGTCTTCTGTATTTGACAAGAATTCCCAGAAGATCAAATGTGATCATCAGCAAATCCTTCTGGTTCTCTTGCATGTGGTCAACAGGGAAGCCCAAGAAGATAATTAGATTGACTCAGACTGACTGTAGGGAAAACCAGCAGAGTAGGGAATTAGATGGTACTGTTCTCAATGGTCCTTTGTTAACTTTTGCCATCATATCTGGAGTAATGGGAAAGGGGAAAGAGGTCATGGGAGAATACTCACCATAGTAAGAATGTATCTTTCCTGCAGGAACAGGTGATAAATCAAATGTACGATAAATTGTGATATTCCTTGAGGGCAAAACAACCTCCTTTCTGTATGTCAGATGTCTCTGAATATGGTACTCCATGAAGTTCTGAGGCCAATGTGAATGTTGTTATATGCCGACACTGGTGTAACAAATGACCATTATCACCCTTCCAGAGTTAATCAGATTTTGGATTCAGGCATGAGGCCAATTAAAAACCTTTAGTGTCCTATGTTTCATGCTGTGCTACGGCTATGAAGCCATCCAGTTGACTGTCAGAACAAGCTTTTCCTGTTATATGTTCTGAATGAAAAAACATATGACAGACAGCTACAGCAGACTGATAGAGCATACAAATCAATAAGAACAGATTGTGACAATCAAGCAGTGTGAATGGTGATAAATTACTGTAAACAATGAAAAATGCCATTGTCTTAAGTAAGAATTCTTACTTATACCTGGGATTCATACATTTAAAATGTTCATGTATTGATACTACACCGGGATACTGATTTGTAATTCAAGTAAAAAAAAAAATCTTATATGCAAATCAGTTCTTTGAATTGCAGATGCTTATGTGCCCTTATCAGAGATAACGAGACCTCATGCTGATAATAGTTAACTGTGCCAAAAATAAATATGAATGTAACTGCAGTGGGGTTCCATTGTGATCTATCATTGAAACTGAGGTATTTTAATTGTTCATTGATTAGATTCCATTAGTTTGTAAGGACTCAAAAGAAGCAGTTTAGTGGAGTTGATATAGTTATTGTTCACTTGGCAAGCTTTATTCATTAAGTAAATTAGAAGCTGAATTGACTTTTGATGACACATAATTGGTTTATCTCAATGACTCACTGAAAAATGAAAGTAAAACTAATGGTAAGTGTTCTGGAACAATCTTGGTAACATTATACAAGATCATTGGATTTCAGCGATCAGTTTTCTTCAGGACAATTTTCAAAATTTGCCATTTGTTTTCTGAATATTTCTTGATTATTTTTTAAATATTTCTGTACTTAAAATATGCCAGCTGTGAATACACTAAAGAGATTACTTTTGCTACTGAGTCTACCATAAAGAAGAGACCACAGTCAATTGCACTCAGTGCTCAAACTGGAGATGGAGGAAGTAAAACTAGGCCCTCAATCTGAGTGTCAGATCACTCTGAAGAGACACTTCTCCACTTGCACCTCCAATGACCAACTGCCCCCCCACACCGCCCGCATCTTCATCTCACTACTCCTACTGCTACCACCAATTTGGAATGACAGCACAGCAAAATGTAAGAAAATGATTAGATAAGACTTATACTTCATAAGGACTATTCTTGCTGATTTTTCTTTCCTTTCCATTTTTGTGTGTCTGACTTTCTCTACAAAAAAAGTAATATTTTTAAATAATAATAAACTGTTACCTATTGATTTCTCTGCTCTTAAGGTGCTAGTTTCTTAGTCTTTAGTTTACAGATGAGGAAATTGTGGCAGAGAATTGTAAATTCCTTAGATCAGAGTAAGCCAGTGGCAGACCTAGGAACAGAACCCTGCACTCTTGAATGGCTGTTCTGAGGCCTGTGTTTCTATCCCTTACGTGTCTCCTCCTTGTGTGCCACTCCTGTACACAAGTGCAATAGCTGAAATCATCCAAGATCCAAGATCTCTCACAGTTCCTCGATTTGTGTAGTTGGAGACTGGAGAAAGGCATTTTCAGTGAACAGCTCTCAGTTATGGAATTGACTCCTGCTATTGGTTTGAACGAACGTGAATTTCTTGACCACCTGGGGACATTGTGAAATCCACATATTTTTGTCAATCTAGTTGGGAACAACCCAGCCAAACTCATTAGTGGATGGTGGAGGCATGTTTATTGTTGTGTATCTCACTGAGTTTGTACAAAACCATATTATCATCAGGGTATCTTTACAGTGTCTGAGAAGTAGTGGATTGAGTATGGGGCTAGGAATTAGGTTTTCCTTCTGATTCTGCCACCAAGTCACTCAGTGAGCTCAGATAAATCACTTAACTTCCCGTGGCTGAATGCCACCTCTGTAAAATGGATATAATGTGTATTCACCTTCAGAGTACTTGGATAACCACCAGTGTGAAGCACTGTGTAGTGTCATCAGGGCCTTTGTATTTATAACATGATAGTAAACAAGAGTACCACTACTCCATTACCTGCCACTATATTAACAATGACGGATAAGCCCATTAGCTGGGATGTTTCTGCTAAAATCTCTTCAATGGGACTCAGTGCAGCAGCAGGGGCCCCACTGGTGTGGAAGCTTGCAGGATCAGGAACTTAAGTTGTCGTTGTTAGGCTGACGCTTGTGTTGACTGCAGTGGTTCCTAACTTTTTTTGGTAGAGCTGGTTGAAATTTTTGTGTCAAAAGTAAGTTAAATGAAAAAAATGACTCTTGCATTAAACACATTTTTGCAGAAAAAATCATTTTTGATTAAATATTTTTTCCATCTTAAAAAAAAATGTTCCTAGTAAAGGAAAAGAAACATTTATCTTTCCCCAAAACTTTCCACCAAAAGACTTGCCAGTCTTCAAACATCGCTATTCCTTGGATCTTATAATTATCTTTAGGACTTTCTTAGATTATATAGAGATTCTGACCTGTGATTATGTTCTGCAGCTAAATTCTTTGGCAGGAGGGTAAGATTATGTAAGTTCTCTGGCCTGCATATGCTTTTTGATACCTATTGGGTTTTTTTGGCAGGATGTTTTGTAGGCAGTTTTCCTTGCACGTTGTTGGCTAAATTGTTAACTATAGTTCTAACTTTATTTTCTCTCTCTCTCCATTTCTTTCATAGAAATAAGGTGATTGGATAAAGCTTACATGAGAAAGCAAGAATATGGAAGGGAGAAGAGATGTGGGGTGACTGAGGAGGGGAATGGAGAGATGGAAGAGGGCATCTTGAAGGAGGTGAGTGTAATAGAGTCCTTGGTGGGTTATGTGGCCTAGTGGTCAATGCACCTAATTCTCCCCCTGCCCCACCTCCTTGGTGGGTCAGTCTTCAGTCCTGGACCTCCTTTACTCAGAGGAGCAGTAAGGAATACAGATGGTTCAAGTTCCTCCTTTAATGGGGGCAGTGGTAGGGGAACCTGGATCTGCCCACTCCATTGGGCTCTGACCCAGGGCCCTGGAAGGGTCAACAGTATCTGCCCCCCAAAAGTGCCCTTGGAGTTATCCTCCATGGGTCACTTTCTACTTCTTCTTTTCTCTCCCTGCTTTCACTCCCAGATAAGGTAAAGAGAATAGAAAAGGGAACCAAACCATCAGCCCCAACTGAGAGCAGCATATAGTCTCAGCAGGAGCCTTCAGGAGAGGATTGTCCTCCTCCCCAGCCTCCTTTCTTTTGAGCTGGGTTGCTCCCTTTTCGACCCCTTCTCCAGGGGGAGCATGCTCTGCAGGGGTGGAGGAGTGCAGCTTCCTGGCCCAGTACTGGCCTTCCGGGCCGGTGTGGTGATTGTATACTCCATCATGGTGGGGATCAGTGGGACAAAAACAAATGGCATGGTTAAGCTGGAAAGATCAGTTAATAGCAATATAGGTGGATAAGTTAATAGAAAATCATGGGCTACTTAAATAACATTACAGTAAATCATTTGTTTTACTTTGTGAACCCTCAGCCAATTGGGTCACTCTTTGTTTTTAAACAAAAAAAGTAACAGCACACAAGTACTTTTTGTAAGTTTTGTATATTAATTTGGGGGCTTCAGTGGATGCAGACAGTAGAGTTCTCTCGATAGCATCAAGATTTTATTCATCCTCCCCCAAAGGCAATTTTAATTATTTTGTTAATTCAAAGTATCTTGAAATCTCTTAACTTCCAAGGGCCAGTAACTACCCGTACTCATCCAGAATAGCACGATACTCCCCAAGTAGTATGCTCTCATTTGCTCCTGAAAACTGTTTTAAAACCAATGTTTAGGGGATGACTATGCTGCAAATAGCTGCATTCATATGTAAACAAGGATAACATACCCTATCCATGACAAAATTACTTGCCCTAGTTATACAGCCTGAGTAACTGAATCAGGAACCAGAACCAAAACGTTGGACTTAGGTCACCTATCACAGACGATGAATTAGGAATGGTCAAAGAGAAAGCTGAAGAAAATGGTAAATTGATCTCAATCCATAGATTGAAATATCTTTGCAAAGAAAGGTTTGGCCAGCTATGAATAAAAGGGGGGGGGAAACCCTGTAAAATAGCCCAATTGGTACCTCTCGGGAATTAACCACATGCACTCAGTTTGCATTTTATTTATTTCTGCTATCTGTGATTTTTTTCTCTCTCTTGCTTTAAGCCTTGGTTCAAAAAAGCACTTCAACAAGTGCCTGCAGTTAACTGTAACCTTAAATGCTTTGCTGAATAAAGGGCTTAGTCTTTCCAAATCACATACCCAACAGAAGTTATGAATTATAGCCTAAGGGTGTCTATTTTAAGCACCCAAGGTTATAAGCAGGGTATTACAATATAAATACATATCAAGGTCTCCAAATTAAAACTCCAAAGCCTAGCTCAAAGCCCTGATCTTTTTTAATCAGCAGTCTAAGAGCTCTTTAGCCTCCTGTGCTCCAGTTAGCTAAATGATATTGCTTAGATAAACACTATACCTATTCTGATTAGCTTCATGTTTATTCATGGAGTCAAAGAGTTTAGAGGTGGGGAAGAAACCTCCCAGGTCATCTAGTGCAACTCTTTGCCAATGCAGGATTGTTCCCAGTAGGATATTGCTAGGTGTTTTGTATGCTCCAGCTTCAAATGATTCAAACTGTGGGGCTTCTGCCACTTCCTGTAGGTTGCAGTGGTGTTCCCAAGGAAAACTTTTACCCAGATTAATAGACTTTAATCTTTAAAAAAATGTGATGATACAGTTTGCATTTTCCTTTGCTCAATTTCTTTCTATTATACACAGACTAGCTAAAGCAATGGCCAAATGTCCTTATTAGGGTATTTTTAGACTAGAGCTGGAGGTGTAATTTCCAGTTTGAGTTAACGTAACCATTCTCAATCTCATTGAGCTAACATGACACATATGGAAATGTTGCTATGATGGTGTGAGCCTGCCCAGGATTGTAGGCATATACTCGGGGCAGTTAGCCCCTCCTCCACTCGCTCTGCCTCGGCTACACTTTGATTTTTAGCCTGCCAGTTCGATCCGAGCTAGGCCTGGTCTACACTAGAAAATTAGGTCAGTGTAACTATGTTGCTCAGGGTTGTGAAAAATCCACACCTCTGAGGAACAAGTTAAGCCAACCTAAATCCTTTTGTAGACAGCACTGGGTTGATAGAAGAAGAGGGGGACTACCTTTGCCAATGGAAGAACTCCTCCCATTGGCATAGATAGTGTCTACAACGAAGTGCTGGGTGACCTATAGAAAACACCTGAAAAATCTGGAATGCCAGCAGCAGCACTTTCTTTGGAAGATCCTCAACATAAAGTGGGAAGCTTGTTGCACTAATGTCGATGTCCTCACAGAGTCCAACATCTTCAGTGCTGAGGCCCTGATTATCCAGCACCAGCTGAGGTGGAGCAGGAACTGTGTGTGCATGCCTGATCTACGCTTACCAAAACAACTGCTGTACACCCAACTCACCAAAGGAGAAAGGAAATGGGGAGACCAAAAGAGGTGTTTCAAAGACACCCTCAAGATAAACATCAAGAGATGTGGCATTGATACCTCACACTCAGAGACAGCAGCCCAGAATAGGGATAACTGGTGAAGACTTGTCTGAGAGGAAACATCCACTTTTGAGGAAAATCTCCTTGCCCTGGTTGCAGCAATGCCAGAAAAGAAAGGAAAGACAACTGTCATGCAGCAATCGTGGCCCAATATAATGTCCCAAAGATATTGCAGGAAGTTGCTCTGTCTGCCATAGTAGCATCATTACTGATCATATTTTATGTAATCAATTACAGGAGCTATGTAAATGAAATCTCAGTCTTGACTGAGCATCTGAAAGGATCAAGATAGTGAAAGAGTAAATATATCTATTAGGAGAAACTTTTCATTTTACATTTTATCAGTTTAATAGATCTTTAATGGAGCTGACTTTTCTGATCTTATATTTATCAGTATCGTGTACTGCATATATATAATACCATTCAGTGCATAAATATGAACGTGAAGATCATAGAATATCAGGGTTGGAAGGGACCTCAGAAGGTTATCTAGTCCAACCCCCCTGCTCAAAGCAGGACCAATCCCCAATTTTTGCCCCAAATGGCCCCCTCAAGGATTGAACTCACAACCCTGGGTTTAGCAGGCCAATACTCAAACCACTGAGCTATCCCTTCCCCCAAAAGTGTAGTGGCAGCGGGGGGATTCGAACCCACGCCCCCGAAGAGACTGGAGCCTTAATACAGTGCCTTAGACTGCTCGGCCACGCTACCTACCTACCTACAAGATAAAAGAGAGAAGCTGAACATTTTATCTTAAATAGGGAAAACAAACAAAAAACAAAAACAAACCTTTGTTTTATTTTATCTGCATTTTGATGAATTGAGGCCAAGTCGATGTAACCCTGACAGTTGCCTGGCCATGACTTTTTTTTCCCCTTTATTGTGTACAGAATTGCAAGTCATGGCTTTCAGGTTATGCAGAAGGCCAAAGTAGATTATCATAATGACCTCTTTGAGCCTTAAAATCTTGAGTCCTCTACTGAGAAATGTATAGATGGACTCTTGACCTATTAGGAATCCACAGGGATCTGCCCAGCTGTTTCCCAGTGCAGGATCAGAGTCTAACAAAGGCATATCCCTTTTCAGTTAAAGAGAACTACAAAGTCCATGGTGTGTCTCTTTTATCTCACCTCTTTCAGTAAAAAAATATCTTGAAGCTTGTCATTTCTGGCACAAGCAATTGTTCTGTAATGAAAGTTTTATTATATAAACAAACAATACAAATATTTGTCCACAACAATATATAATTCATACATATTTTGAATAGTGTGACTGGTGACGGGATGAAGGGGTTTTTTTTGTTTGTTTGTTTGTTTGTTTTTTAATGTAATGAACCAGAAGTATACATAACTGTTATGAATGAAAACTGGTCACTCTGCATATACCCACATCTTAAAGGTGGGAACATTAATATTTCACTTAGTATTAAAATGTAGAAAAATGTTACTTTTCTTGAGGATATATATATATTTTTTAAAGACGTTTGCATGAAAACCAGGATCTCCGGCATCTTTGTTGATGGTTCATCTGCTCCAGTTGGTTATTCTTAATCATGAACTTCTATTAGTTCCTCTTGTGTTTTGTACGGCCACACACTTGCATGTTAATTTTAATGTACGGGTTGTTTCACTGTACATTACAATTTTGTAGAACTTATGATTAGCTCCACATCTTGGGCTTTAATTCAGTGAAATATTTAAGCACATGCTTAAAGTTAAGCTTTTGGCTCAGTGTTTTGCTGAACTGCGGTGCTAGAAAAGATAGACAGGAATTTGGAAACAAGCTGTATGCAATGTGCAATGACAGATCAGGAAAAAGTTGGGGTTTTTTATTTGTTTGTTTGTTTTAAAATAGTCCTCATGCTCTCTCCAAAGTGGCTCTTTGTTAGTACCTTTCAACATGTGTGGATTAACAATCTGGGTGTTTCATGCTGTCCCCATAGAAGTCAACAACAAAACTCCCATTGATTTTAATTGTTCATCACTGGATCTTTCCTTGTTGTGTGGGGATTCTTAGCTGGTTAAGACTAATACTTTTCACATGCTTACCACCTCCTCTTGATATATTTGACTTGGGAATTAACACATTACAAAGCATCCATACTCTGTGCACTCAAGACTGCCTACTTGTGTGTCAGTTTGGTTTTCTTGTATCCTGATATACTGGTTCCACTCCATGCTGTTTGCTTGTATGTAGCCTAATCAAATGGAGGCACATATATATCAATGTTGA